TGTTAGACAGCAAGATCTCTTCCACCTCCCCTGGCCCCTCACTACTTAGAAAGGTGACTTCTCTCTTCCAACAAAAATGGGCCCTATCTCACGTGGGGGGTGTGGAAGCTTCGGGTTGCGGCCCTGCCATGTTTCCTGGTCCTGGGCCGTCCCCTGGGCACCCTAGTGGCCCTGGCTACATCTGATACTTTGGCGCACTCTGCCTCATCTCTCAAAGCCTTTTCATACAGGAAAGGGTAGGACCTAGGGTCACTCCCATGGACCTGGGTCCAGTACTCCAGGACTTTCATCTTGCTGGTTTCAGCACGTGCTCTTGGACCCCAAAGGAACTCATAGCAAGCAGGATCACTCCCAGGCACCTGGCGATACTCCAGGTACTGTTCCTGCACGAAATCTTCAGTGATGAGTTTTCTAGGCTCCCCGTAGATGAAGTGTTCCCTCTCGGGATACACCCCCATCACACTCAGCATTTCCCAGACATCTTGCTCACAGGCACGGTCCCCCACCATGAAGATGATGCACAGGATGATTACCAGAAGGCCCGTCTTGGGCATGCTCTGGTCATCGCCCTGCATCCCGTCATAGGTGAGGCCCAAAGCATTAACAACAGCATAGGAGTGGTTGGAGGGGTCCACCTCCTCAACATGGATACCAAAGACCAGGTGCATGCACTCAGAGGCCACACTGAAGACCACAGGGAAGTCCTCCTGGTTATTTTTGATGACGCTACTCAGCATTTCGGCCTTGGTGGTCAGCTCCTTCATTCGATACTTGAGAAGCAGGAACTGCACCAGGTCAGCCATCTGCTGATCCAGTGGGTTTTCCAACAAGGACCTATGGTGTTCCTGGTCCTGATAGGGGAATGAAACTTCCTCTTCTTGGCTGCTGGAGATTTCACTGGACTGGATAAATGAAGTGGGAGCCATGGTGACAGAGAAAGAGGAGGAACTCAAAGGAACCTGTGGAAAAATCAGTGGCCCAGGAGCAGACACCTCCCTCTGGGTAGCTGGTACCAGAGGAAGGGAAGTGGAGGAGATGCAGGCAGAGGAGGCCCCCTCCTCCTCGGGCCTGAGAACCCGCACACCATTGAGGCTTGGTGCCTCCCTTTGGGCCTTAGGTTCTCCTTTGTCCTTGTGGTGCTGGCGCTTCTGACCGGGAGATGACATGGCTTTCCTTGGGCACAGCAGGCAAGGCAGTGGGCAGGCGATCAGTCCTGGGAAAGAAAGGGATCCAGGGAACTGAGAACCACGCCCTTCTTAGTGCTCACAAGGGCCCAACCAGTCATCTGTTAAGGTGGTGATCTAGGGCTACTCAGGCTCCTGTCCTTCGGGTGGGCCTGACTCCTTGAGAAACCGAGGCAGGAAGTGAAACAGCTTCTCAGGTGAAGCAGGCTTGCAGAGCACAAGGCTCCAGGGCTGACCTAGGCCTGTGGACTAGGTACACTRTTCTGCTGAGTTGGGCCCTTGGCATACACTCCCAGCATGCACATCACCAGGACTCCCAGCTCTGCCTGGGCCTCATCTGCTCTGTGACTGGAGTGAAGACTGCAAGCACAACCCTGGACCCCTAACCATAAGAGGAGGGACTGGTCCGTCTCTGTGAGGCCTGCAGAAATCTCAGTTGGATGGTCTTATTAGTGGTCACTCTGTGCCCTCAAAATTCCCCTGGAAAAGCCTGGAGTCAAGCTCATGTTGACCTGAGGTGAACAAACATCCACTTCTGTGAGACAGAATAAAGGCAGTGAGGGGCCGGGCGTGGTGGCACATGCCTGCAATCCCAGGGGATGGGGAGTCTGAGACAAGAGGATTGCAAGTTCAAAGCCASCCCCAGCAAAAACGAGGCACGAAGTAACTCGGGGAGACCCGGTCTCTTAATAAAATACAAAACAGGAGTGGGGGTGTGGCTCCGAGGTTGAGTGCCCCCGGGTTCAATCCCCCATACTCCCCACAAGAAAAGCAGTGAGGGGGCCCACGTCTGGTCACAACTGCCCAATGGTGATGGTACTAGCTAGCCAAATTCATTGGGGTCCATGTGTCCTGGCGTGGAGAAACTGGATCAGTCCTAACCTTAAGGAACATCAAGGTGTGAGACTTGTTTCTCTCTCTCTCTCTGATGACCTGAGGCCACCTTCCTTAAAGCAGGGTCAATCTCTGTGAGACTCTGGAAAAGAAAGTGAGGGGAAGGGGAAGCCCATGGAGTGGTGGTCCTGGTTCTTCCCATGGCTGAAAGAAAGGTCACGTGGAGACTGCAGTCTTGTGTGTTCACGTGCACATGTTCCCTTTGTCCCCACCTTGACTCCTGGCTGTGCCTGAGAGCCTCTCTATGCTGATGTGAGCCCAGCCTCCTCTTACCAAGCCTTCACCTCCCGGAGACCAATGACACACACTGAAGAAGAGAGGGACCCTGACAGCCCCGCCTGGGCTTCCTGGGTTGAAGGCAGGCTCAGGGCAGATTTTTGAGGGGCACCTGTCTACTCTGTGCTGGGGGTTCCCTTGATCCTCCCTTGGGGTGCTCACCGTAACCTTTGGGAGGCCCTGGCACCCCTGTCTGTGCTAATAAGATGGAGTTCCCTGTGCTCATCTGAACCCACACTGTCCCATCACCACCCTCAACTTCCTGAGAGACCTAGATCTCTCAGGAGAAGGGAGCAGATGTCACAACCCATCACCCCTTTTAGGGGCTCTCCAGAGCTGACAGCCAGGCTTGCGCCCCATGGATCCTAGATTTGGTGCTGGGGGAGTTCCCCAAGTCCTGTAGTTTATGCATCTTGCTCATGCCCATACCTGCCCTTGCTTACTGCCATACCACCTGACAGAAATTGCTCTCTTTAGACCAAAGCTCCATCTCCATGAACACTCCCCATTTTAGTGGTAGAAGTGACAGTACCACTTAGGGCCTCTCGTGGCTGACCACAGTGGAGAGGCAGGCTATGTAGGGTTCCTTGTTTCGAAGCTGGGGATGCCTTCAGTCCTTATGAAGGGTCCATACCTTGGGTCTGGCAGGTCCTAGGATTCCTCTCTGTGCGAACCACATGGGGCTCCCCCTGCTGGCCTGTCATCACCTCTTGACCAAGGTCCCTACCCACATAAAACCTCTCAGCTTAACCAGGAGGCAGAAATGAGAGGGATTTGCTTCCAGTGACCCTGCATGGGGCCCCGCAGGGTAGATTACAGGGGAAGCCAGGCTCTCTGAGGTCCCTTCCTTTGGGAGGTATGGCATTCAGTGCCTGTCACCAAAGTTCCTCACCTTGATTCCCGGCAGATGCTGGAAGCCTCCCTCTGCTGACCAGCTGTGGCTCCTCTGCCGTCCTGATGAGCTCTCTCACACCAAGGCCTCACCTCCCTGATTTGGAGGAGACAGAAGTGAGGACAGCACATTTGGTTGGACACGGCTGCGTGGGGTTTCCCCAGGTTAACAGACCAGCAGGTCCCAGGGGCCTCCTTTGTCTGGAGTGTCCTCAAGGTACTCATACTCACTCCTGACAGGGTCTGGGCCCTTTCCCCTCTGCTGACCTGGAGATACAGGCCTCCTCCCTCCGATTCCAGTCAGAATGAAGGACAGGCTCAGTCTGAAAGCAGGGGTAGGGCTGGGTGCCAGCCATTCTGTGTCCTAGGGCACTCAGTCCTCCCTCATTTCTAACCCTGACTGCCAACAGGCCCTCCATCATTCTACTGAGTCCCTCAGCTCCCTCAAACCCAGATGCCAAAGTCAGACATCACAGTGCCTGTAAACCTGTCCCAGAAGTGAAAGCACAGTCTGAATCCCCATCCTCTGCGGACCTGAGCATGCTCAGTGAGACCAAGACTCCAAGCATTCCTTGAAGATGACTGAGAGGGGCTCATACCCACCATCTGTACCCATGTGCTGCAGAGCTGACCAAACAGCAGATCAAGATAATTTTCTTGGAAGTATGCTTAGTGAACTCAGAGGCACTCTATCCCTGAGCAACACCTCTGGCCCTTTACATTTTGTTTTTGAAATTTGAGAGAGGGCCTAACTTGCCCAGGGTGTCTTTGAACTTGCCATCCTCCAATCTGAGCCTCCCAAGTAACTGGGATTCCAGATGTGCACTCCACCCCATCCAGATATGGATCATTTGGTTATGCTTTATGTTAGATATGGAAAATGAAAAACGTCAGAGATAGTCTGGCCAGGGAAAGGGTTAAAAAAAAAAAAAAAAGAGCCATACATTGCTAGCTTTCATCTCTTTCAAGACAAATCCTCTTCCGATGCTGGCTACTGGTGGGGAGAAAGTGTTTCATCAAACCGAGAAAGGTAGTCTCTGAGAAATACTCATCTCTTCCAACATAAATCCTCTCCAAGTGCTGGCCACCGACCTCCAAGCCCCAAACCCAAATTCCCGTCTTCCCAGACTGACACAGTCACAAAATCCCCTCTCCGTATAAACTATATAAGCCCAAACTCCTCCTTTGACCAGTGGCTCATTTTCCACCAGGAAAGTGGGTATACGGGAGATGCAATCATGTTTCTGAATAAAAGGCTGAAATGATCTGTGAAGTCTGCGCCAGGCCCAGACCTTTGTGCTAACACTTTAAGTGGGGCATTTCCAGTTCATACCAAGCATGTCCCTTTGTCTTTTTCTTTTCTCTTGCAAGCAATGGCAAGGTCTCTTAACACTCAGCTACACCCCCAGCCCAAACCTTGACCCCCAGCCCAGCCTGAGCCCTGTATGCTCCACCAATCTGGAGCAGGGGCATCAAAACAAGGTCCTAGGCTCTGTCCAATCCCCCAAAGCAGAACTCAGGGAATGTAAGAATGGGCCAAGTACATGGGGCCTCTTATTGCAGACAACAGGGATGGGACATGATTCTTTGGGGCCATCCCTATGTCCCCTAGTACTCCTTAGCAAGGCCACAAGAAACTTAAAGAGGCCCAACCTCAAAAAATGATAATGATAAGGGCTGGGAATGTGGCTCAGTGCTTAAGTGCCCTGGGTTCACTCCCCAGTACCAAGAGAAAACAAAACATAAGAGTTCAGCCCACAGGGGAAAGGGCTGGGCACAGAGGCAGCTTGCTTGGTTTGGGCACCCTCCAACTGGGGTGGGGCCTCCYCCATTCATGCCAGCTAGCCACTTGTCACCCACTGTACCTTGGTACTTACAGTGCAGGCCTCAGGTCAGTTTGTGGGACTGACAGGATCCTCTGCAAAGGAACAGGCTGCCCTGCAATTCTGCCCCCCACCAGAGGGAGCTGCGCTGGCCACAGAGGTAGCCTGGGTGCTTTGCTGAGCCTCCTCCTGGGGCGGGGCCTCCTCCATCTACCCCAAGCTCTCAAATGGTCTCTCAGGGACCCTGTACCCTCCATGCTGAACTAAGCCACTGGGTGACACTCCCAGGGCCCCCTGTGGCAGAAGGGGTCCCCTGGAATTCTACCACCCCAGCTCCTGGGTTGCGCACGTAAGAAACCCGGCTGGTTTGGTCACCTTCTGTTTAACAGGGGCCTCCTCAGGACTGCTGCAGTGATGGGTTCCAGTGCTTCAAGCATGGGCTGTAAACCCCAAGGTCCCCTGTGGCTTCGCCCTCACTCTGAAATTCTTCCCCTCAACACAGGGAGCAGGGCTGGCCAAGATGGTTCAGGACCTTCCTCCTAGTGCGAGCCTTTTCACTTCACCTTCATCCCTCACCTTGACCCTGATGGTTCCCAGACCTTGTCTGCTCCCCGCTGACCTAAGCCATGTACTCACCGGAAAATCCCAGGGTCTTGTGCCATGGAACCTGTGGCTCTACAATTCTTTCCTCCCAGGGTTGGGCCAGGACAGTCAGCCCTCAGCCCTCACCTTGACCACCCATACACCCCAGGCCCTGTCTGCACCAATGAATTGTGTGGCTCTGGCAAAAGGAGGACACTCCCAGGGTCCCTACAGAGAAGGAGTGCCCAGGAATGCTGGCCCCGCCCCCAGGTCAAGGCCGGGAAGAGGGAGCCTGTGTGATTTGCACACTTTCAATTTAGGGAGGGGCCTCATCAGCCCACAGCTCCAGGGACCTCTACCACTTGGCTCAAGGATGCCCTGCAATGCCCTGCAGCACAAAGCTTTGCTCTACAAGTTGGACCGCCCCCCAACCCCCACAACTTCCGGGGAGGACAGCTGGCCAGAGGCAGCCTGGATGGTTTGGGGGCCTTCCTGCTCATTCCACCCCTGCTCTCACTGGACCACCAGCAACCCCAGGCCCAGTCCTCTCCAGTGACCCCAGCCAGCCCTGTGGCTCTGGCATGGGGCATAACTCCCTGTGCGCCCGCGCAGGACCCGCTGCCCTGGAATTCTGCCCACCCGARGTGAAGCGGCTCGCTGCTCACAGGGCCCACGGGCTTTCAGGAACTTCTCTTGGAGGAGGGTTCTCCTTGGTCCAGAGCTCCAGGGCCTGCAACACGTGGCTCAAGCATGGGCTGCAAATCCCAGGGTCCCCTGCGGGCGGAAGGCGCCGCCCTGCAATTCCGCCCTCCTCCCCAGGGACTAGGGCTGGTTGCACTGGCAATCTGCACGGTTTGGGGACCCTCCTGCTGGGCTAGGGCCTCCCCAGTCCACCCTCAGCTCTCACCTGATCAGCGCCAGAGCTCAGGAACCATCCACTCTGCTCATCTGTATCTCCTGGCTCTTGCTTCCGGGTGTAACTCCCAGGGTCACCTGTGGCGGAAATGTTCCCTGAGAATTCTTAGAATTCTGCCCCCTTTGCAGGAGGCGGTGGTGCAAGCCTGCAATCCTCCCATGATCCCAGGGGCTCTGGAGGCTAGGGCAGGAGGTTCGCAAGTTCAAAGCCAGCCTCTTCAACTTGGTGGTGCCAGAAGCAACTCAAGGAGACCCTGCCTCAAAATAAAATAGTAATAAGGGCTGGGATTGTGGCTCAGTGCTTAAGTGCCCTGGGTTCACTCCCCAGTACCAAGAGAAAACAAAACATAAGAGTTCAGCCCACAGGGGAAAGGGCTGGGCACAGAGGCAGCTTGCTTGGTTTGGGCACCCTCCAACTGGGGTGGGGCCTCCCCCATTCATGCCAGCTAGCCACTTGTCACCCACTGTACCTTGGTACTTACAGTGCAGGCCTCAGGTCAGTTTGTGGGACTGACAGGATCCTCTGCAAAGGAACAGGCTGCCCTGCAATTCTGCCCCCCACCAGAGGGAGCTGCGCTGGCCACAGAGGTAGCCTGGGTGCTTTGCTGAGCCTCCTCCTGGGGCGGGGCCTCCTCCATCTACCCCAAGCTCTCAAATGGTCTCTCAGGGACCCTGTACCCTCCATGCTGAACTAAGCCACTGGGTGACACTCCCAGGGCCCCCTGTGGCAGAAGGGGTCCCCTGGAATTCTACCACCCCAGCTCCTGGGTTGTGCACATAAGAAACCCGGMTGGTTTGGTCACTTTCTGTTTAAGGAGGGGCCTGTCACCTGGAACCTTGGTGACACTCTATGGTGTGGCCTTGTCAGTCCACCCTCATCTCTCACCTTGACCCCAATGGTTCCCAGAACCTGTCTCTCACTGCAGGCCTCAGGCCAAGGCTATAACTCCCAGGGTCCCTTGCATCAGATCGTCTCACCCTGGAATTCTTTCCCKCACTCTAAGATGCAGGGCTTAAAAAACCATTGCCAGGAAGTATCTGACTCTCTATGGTGGGACCTCCTCAGACCACCCAGCTCTCACCTTGACACCCACAGGGCCCTGGCCCTGTCTGATCGCTCAGCCAATAGCTTTAACTCCCAGCATCCCTTGCGGGTGAAAGAGGCTCCCTGGAATTCGGGACCCCCACCCGGTGAAGAGCCGGCCAAGGTAGTGGGGTGGTTTAGTCCCCTTGGTTTAGTCACCCTGTCCCCTTCTGTTAGGGCCATGTCCCTTCTTCTGACTCTGTGCCAGAACAAGGTCCTCACCTCCATCTGACACCCCCACAATGGAACTCAGTGGATGTCACTTAGGACCACCTGCCTGGGGCCTACCATGGTGAACAACAGGGGCACAACCTGATTCTTCAGGGCTCACCTTCCTTCCTCAGGCTCCTCACTTTGGTTCCTGGCAGAGTCTGGAGCCTTTCCTTGGCCCACTGACAGTCCCCTGCAGTGACAGTGAGGGTGGGGAGTGTCCGACTGACAGCTGGGCCTCCCTGCTTCTCCCAGGCCTGAGAGAAGGACTGGAGCCCCTGTCCCTGTCTGCAATGGCTTGCTCCAGGAGAGCCATGCCTTCCTGGGGGTCCCCTTTTTCAGCTTCCCTGTACTCCACAAACCTGACCTCCCAGAGGTTGACTAACACCAAAAACTGTAATTGTAAGCAGCAGCAAGCAATTTGGCCTACACTAGCTTTTTCTGAGTTGATAAGGACTAAATCCTGGGTCTCACACAGGCTCGGCACGTGCCCCACTACTGAGCTACATGCCCCAGTTCTGTGTTTTGTTTATTCCTTCTCCTCCTTCTCCTTCTCCTTCTCCTTCGACAGTCTCACAAAATTGCCCAGGCTGGGCTGGAACTTGTAGCTGGGATTATAGGGTTGTATTCCTGGGCCTGGCTAAGTCTTGATTATTTTCAAGTTATCAATCAATTCATAGTTCATGCAGTAGTTTTCATTTGTAATCTGTTCATTAGCAGCCGAGAATAGATACTGCATCTCTTGCAAATATATGAGTACTTTATAAATACCTCAAGTATACATGTAGATTATACTGACATTTATCTGTAGATACTTAAACATGTATGTAGATGCATACATGCATGCATTATCCGTGTATAATATATACATTTTATATGCACATATATACGTATTTATGCATGTACATAAGCTATATATAATTACATGTGTCTTTTTTTGCGTTTTAATTTTTTTTTTTTTTCCTAGAAAAGATAAACACAACCGGAGGGCTTTTTATGACAAACTCTCAGTGTCAGGATGGCAGGGAAAGAAAGGCCAGAGGCAGGGGAAGCCAATAAAAAGTGGGTTCCGAATCACGTGGAACGGTCCACAGGGCCGTGCCCGGGTCCTTATGAGATGACCGTTCACTTTGGCATGCGAGTTTGGTGCCTGGCCTTCTGGCCTGCTCTCTCAGACACCCATACTCAGAGAGAGCTGGCCACACCTCAGAAACCTGCCAATGACAAACTCAGGACTTGACAGACACACAGACTTATTAACTCAGCTCCTTGGCTCTGTGCTCAGGCATCACTCGGCAGCCTCTCCTGCCTACAGAACAGGGGTGCAGGAGCCGGGGTGTCACCTCAGGGCACGCTTTGGCATCACAGCAGTGAACTCCAAGCAGCCACTCACTCGGGTGCAGACATGGTCCTCACCCACACAAGCATTTGTCCAGACATCC